GACAATGTCACCTTGTATTCGTAAGTGAGTAGGGTTTCGATACTACCAGTAAATCAGTGTAATGAGATGTATTCACCCTATTTCGTCTTAGACGAAATACTTTGCTGGAATACTCGATGAACATGCTCGCGCTACCTGATAATATTCCCCTTCTTTAGGAACCGTGTATAGGTGACAAAACTTATTTGACCTTAACGTAAGCGCGTTGTATCCAATTGGGTATCAAACACCGGACTCATTGGCTTTGTTGAGCTTACTTCCATTTAGAGTCCATCAGAAGACGACGGCGGATTCCTCTTGACCAGCTGTCGATTGGCTGACGCTGTTTCCGAGGTAATCTCCTTCGATTCTGGTGAAAAAGTGCTAAGCTTTTGTTCTTGTTCCCTATTTCTCTCTAATCCTATCCACCAACCATAGGTAGTTTTTACCTAATTTCCTTCACTCGTTCTTTCTATTCAAGGTGTCGGCTGTTTTTTGATTTCTGTCTTTTTCCTAATCTTTTGTTTAGTGGTATAGTATTCATATCTAACTAAACATTTTGTATTAGACCAGTCTATCTGGTGTCTTATGTGTGCTGTTTTCGGCCAGTTCTGACTTTTGGACCCACAAACCATTATAGGCTGTTTAATGTTCAGATAACCTATTTTGTATGGATCGATGGTTCCCCCCACACCTAGAGTCTACCACATAAACCTAAAAAGCTTATAGCAGCCCGATCTGGAAAGCTGGTCTGAAATTTCTCGAAAAGAAAGCATTACTGAAAAAAGTGTTATTTTCTCCTTACAAATTGTCCTGATATCCCACTTCCTCAGTAGTTAACCTATCTTTTTCAAAAGCTGGCACGACGGTAGCATCAGGACCCTAGTTGAGTGGTTCAGCTGCCTATGTTGCCCCAAATAGATGCTTCCTTACATCCTATTCGCTAATTTTTTAAAGCGATTCTCAATCAATCCTAATGGATAAACATTCTCAACTAAAATTTTCCTTAATCTCCTCAGTTGCTGTCCCCGACGGTTAACATCTGAAGGACGCAGGCTCCTACTTTGACTCCATAAGTATGGCCAGCTAATGGTCCAATGCTGGAAATCACAAATACTATAGCAGAGGTCAGGACTAGGTACGTTCCGCAAAGTCTACTTGATGCTCCGACTAAGTTGCGAAAATAAATTCGAACCAACACTATTAAGCTAAAAAATACTGCGACCAAACAGAAGGCCACATCATCTTGCTCTTCATATCTGCCATCTCATTGTTGACTACTTAGCTAATTCAAAAACCAGTGTTTCTGCATTAAACATTAATTTTTGTTTATAAGTAGGCATTCGAGACTACCAGTAGATCATATACAAGAGATGTCTTAATCCTATTTCGTTCATGGTGATAAGGATGACAAACCATTAGGTCGTAGATGTGAAGACCACGATAGGGTGGCCTGTCCGACCGAACCCTTTGCTAGAAGCTCGTCACTTGGGCGCTCAATCAGTGCTAGTCGTAGACAAGAGCCTTCAGTCAGACAAGTGATTTGTCAGCATCTCCATCTGGCGAAATGTCTCGCTTACTTTCTCTCGTCCATCAAATCGAAAACGACCAGTATCTGCGGTTGGCCGGGACAGACTCGCACACAAACAATCCCTCCTACAGGGCCCAGTTTCCTTTCACACGTGGAAGACTGGATCATCTCGTTGCCTCTGTTACCTGTCTCCCTCCCCCCACTCCCCACCTTCCACCATCGCCCCTTCATACAAGCCTGTCGAGACCGCAACGACCTCGCGCCTCTGAGTTTTCGGCGTATTTCCGCGGCCTCGACCGAGGCAGCAGCGCACTATGACGGACCGCGAACGTCGAGATGTACTTTCTCCCATGATAGTAGGTCTGGCATGCCCCTTCCAAGGCAGGACTAGGGCAGCTGGAACGTCTGCCTACAGGTGGAAATGGACACGAGCCTGTCGAGCTGCAGTTCTCGTACCGGCCAAAAGAACCATCTCTTGCCTATGTTTGCCAGTCCCCGGCAGAGCTGGCAATAAACCGACCGAATAGATAATGACGAGCAGTTTAATTGTTTTTGGCTGTTCTGGTCAACTGGACGAATGGGTCGAACGGGCAAAATGTGCGAAATGGGCCAGTGCAAGTGTGAGGCAGCTAAAAAGGAGAAGTGGGATATGTAAAGGTGTATGGGAAGGACCAGTGACCCTCTGGAGGCAGAGGAGAGGAGGCCTACTTACATAGTGCATACATACACGTGTACATAAAGCATCATCTCTCTCTTTCTCTCACTCCATCTCTCTCTTTATTTTTTTGCAAAAGCTGAAGAGAATGAGTGGGCTTGGACTAGCGGCTCTGGGGCTTAGTGACAGGTTACCTTGCTCCCGTAAAAACATCTCGTCCGGAGCTGCTGTGCCTCGGAGAGCATAATTACGGTTGACAGCCTCGTCGGCTGGTCACGAGGGGCCTTCGCCGGGATCCAGGTGTGTACGGGCTAGGCTGTGGGGCAGCCAGGGGCCAGAGGCGTGAAGACCAGTTTGATAGACGAAAGGTGTCGTAGTTGCAGCGGAGAGATTTATTGGTGCGTCTGAGAAGACAATTAAAAAAGTGCAGAAGCTGACAACAGGCCAACACGCCAGACAGGACTCTGGCCATGATCCCGCAGGCAAGTGTGGGCCTGTCCCAGCCTCCATGGGCGTCATTTCGCCGGCTCTACTTCCTGTTTACGCCCTCCCAACCTGTCTCCTGTCGCATGGCAACATAACCTTGCGCCGTGGTGCAATATGGCTATTATGACCAAACCAGACTGGTAGAACTGGGCCGTACAGGCAAGGCTCTTTGGCCGGGGGATAGGACACGCAACGCGACCGGACGACATGCCAGATGTATGCCATGGTTGCTGCTTCTGGTGCTTGTCTAACATCGGGCAGGGTGAAACTGATGGCGCTTTTTAGGGCACACTTTGTTGTCCGGCTTTCTGACTTTAAAATGCCTTTAATACTTCCATTCGTCCTACACGCCTCGGAACGATGTCCGTGCCGATAGGAGTTCATGCCAGGAGTGACATGCCCCATGGCCTGTAGACAGGCACCTACAGAAAGATTGTTGTCATGACGCGTTTGTGGTATCAAAAAGAGGCTGGAAACCCCGGTCTCTATATTGATTGGTGTCCATCACTAACCGGTCCGGACGTGGTATCGGGGTAGGGGGTAAAAAGAACTTGGAGGTTTGTCGTGAATGATGCGAAGGTTATTCGACAAATTCAAGCCCTATATACCCAACAGTTTGGCTTTGAGGATTCCCTTGTAAAGTTCATGACATCGGATCATTCAGTTTAGCTGAGAGGTTAGGCAAAAAGTATAAGTAAATAGGTAGATATATAGAGAAACTGGTTTTCGAAGAATCCCTTAATAGGTAGAAGTAATTTTTCATTTAGTTTCAAGAGGAAAATAGAAGAGACTCGTAAGTTGGCCTTACTGGAAGCCAAAGGATGATTGCTTTAGGGCTGTGACCTCTTCAAGCGAAATGAAAGGTACTCCAAAATAAGTAAACTGTTCATAAGAATGTTTTTGAGAGTGCCAGTAGATCACATATGAGGGGTGCATTCACTTAATTTCCTTTAAGGTGATGAAAAACTGGCAGTTGAATTTTTCCATTGGGTTTCCATACAATTTCGTATAGCCTTGCTTCCCAAAGGGTATTCTCAGCCAACGTAGATCGCAATTTTGATCTCACCTGAACTTATCTCATCAGAACCACCAGTGGGACTCGAAGAACTACTTTTACAAAGGAAATTTACTAATGTAATCAAATGCTATAGCAAATATAAATTTGCTTAATCTATTGTCCCAGCAAAGAAAGTTATATAAAAAATATCTTGCTTTCCTTGAAACTCACATCTTTTCTGTGACCCTATTGTCACTGTATTATAATGGCTAGCATGTCGAGAATATACGCTGCACCACTCGGGTTTGAGTCCCGTTTGGGGTGTTGAGCTCAGGTGATGTCAAATCCGCGGTCCAGGCTGGATGAAAATACCTTGTTCGGAAGAAAGACTATGTGGAATTCAATGAAAAAGTTATGCCTGCTCATATCACTGTGGGAAAATTAATCTTTATAACCTTAAACGAAATAGGTTGAAGAAAGATTCCAGATAAACTTTACTGGGAGTTTCGAAAAAATACTTCTTGATTAAATATGCCGGATATAGCGTTCTGCTCTTATTTGTCACAGCCATCGCTGCTTTTTTCATTTCCATACTTAACGTCTGTATTCCATCTGGTAATATTGAGACCTACTTGATTCCTTAAGTACACACGTTCAATACCTGTCAGATATTCGTAAGGTTGAAGTATGAATAATTCGGGTAATTTTCTCATTTGGTTAGCTTAAGGTTGCTTTACGAAGACTAACCAGCATTAATGATGTCCCTAACTGTGATAGGATAGACGAAATCTTAGCAAATTTGCTCGGGAACCGAGGGTTGTCTCGAAGGCTGCATCAGCCAGAACGTGTGAACAAAATCATGTAACATTTAGCCAAGAGGAATCTGCTGTTTCGTCTGGTTGCATCAATCTATGAATATTTTTATCACACGTATTCACTCGAAATGGATGAGCCAAACAATTTGAAATTGATGTTCAACCTGTTTGAGACTGTATTTTTAGAATGAAAGAAGTAATGCATTTCAATGTACAATTGTTATTAATTAATTAATCGTTTTTCAAATTAAGTATCCCTTCCACATTCCGATTCCTGAAAACATCAACTGGATGAGGGGAGGTTGAAATTAAGGTTTTCTCAATCCATGACTGCTACAGGCCGATTTTGTATTTTTTTCTGACCCTTGGGCAGTGTCTGCACAATCAAAATTCTATGATTCTTAAGCAAGAATCACTGACAATTTCTATATCGTCATTTTTACAAGGTGAGTATATGATTTGGCAGATTGGAAATCATGGATAGAGATTCTGTCTGTTCATGTGTGCCCATTTCTAGCTTTATTGCCTCAATCTCGGGGGTAAATTCAGGGTATTAGGTCAATTTAACAAACGTCAGTAAAAATGCGTTTCTGACAAGTTCCGGTGACTATTTTTGGAGCCTTGCCGTATAATTATTACTTGAAATCGTCCACCCCTTGAAGAAAATCCTGTTCGATGCGACTCAAATTGCCTACTTTCAGCCAAAACACGGCCGCTAGGCCCTTCCAGATCACCGGTTGTGCGGGGCATGAACTTCTGTTCGCACCTCAACTCAACTCGCTAATTAGCAGACGCTCGACAAGCCTGTTAATTAGCGTCTTTTCATACGAAAAAATGTGACTTTTGACAAGTCCACCCCGCGAGTCCGCTTATTGCCCAACCCAACTCACAATTCCTTCACCTCATCCTCATCCTGAGTTCAACACCGGCCAGTTGACACTCACGACTTCCAGCATCTCAAGCTGAATGTGCATGATAACTCATTAAAATTTCCCAAATTAAGACAGTCGCTCTTTCCTACCATCCTCACCTCCAGTCAGTCTTTGAAACAAGTCGCCCTTTTCACGCCCCAACAATTGACAGACCCCTGAGACCTTTCTTCTCTTCGGGTAGAAAAGTCTCTTCTCTCGTCTCTCCGGGGTTCTGTGGGTCCGACCCGGTCTCTCGGACTGCGCGCCACCTCCAATGGGCCCGATCGGCATGTGCATCAGCCTGAGCTTTTGCATGGGCACTAATAGACCAGGGGAGTTGGAGCTTGAGTATGGGGAATATGTGCAGGACGAGCGAGCAATTTGGCCGCCAGCGAGGAAGCATGGGGATGTGAAATAAGTGGGTGGGAATGTGGAAAGGAGAGGGCGATACTTGCGACAGACTTTGGCCAGTCATCACCCGTTCCTTGGTTGAACGCCTTCGCCGGCGTGGCCCAAGGTGCCCTGGCGCTTTTGATTTCGCTCCCGGTAGAGCCGCACGCTTCATAGCTGACCTCGTTTCGCGATCATTGCGGCAGCCTGAGGCAGACTGTAATGAGACCTGCTCCACGCTCACTCCCCTCGGCTCGGGCTCCCGGGGCCCCACGTGTGCTGATCCCTCTATTTAAACCGTGATTCCAGATGTACCCATTCTTATCACGCACCGAATTGTGAAGACGGACAGTATGCGAGTTTACGAGTGTGGTGCCGCCGAAGGAGAGGTGGGGAATCAGGCCAGTCATGGAGAAGCAAGTCTGGGGGAAGGTAGATGGGGTGTGTGTGCGAGTGTGAACTTGGTGGCTGTTTGAGCCGAGAGGAGTTACGAGATGACAATCGTTTCTCATGAGGCCATTATGTGCGTGAGGTGTGGGCTACTTGCAGCTCGGCCGGTCTGTCAATCTGCCAAGGGAACAATGCGATTGCACATTTTGTCTTTTCCTCCGAGACCAGGCAGGCCTGGTGGAGCGAACGCATCTAAACACAAAGTCGGCTCTCATTAGATGAGAGGACGCAATGAGACTGCGCCAGAAGCGCCCTCATATCCTACAAAACAGTCTTTTTGCAAGAAAAGAATGTTTTCAAACTTCTGTAACAGGTTAACTCTGTTACGTTCCTGAAGCACCAGACCGATGATCGGCTACCATTTGGCGGGAAGGGAACAGTGGTAGATTAAGTGTTGACCGGGAAGGAGTGCACGAAAATGGCTTAAGTAGGAGGGCCGATATGCCGGAATATGACATTATCGAGGAAACAAACGAGTTGAGAAAACAATACCAAACCAACTTTATGCAGCCAAGGGTCATATCGACTTGGTAAAAAAAGACAGGATCAAATTTATATTGATGTCTCATCCTACACGATCGGTAGGTTATCTATAAGAAACTCGAAATGGTGATAAGAATCAGAAACCTTTAAGTGACCGGATACACTTTTCACTAAGAAAATTTTAGGATTCGTTAAGAATTGCTCATGAAATTTACTTGAGTACCTGAAAGGTACATAAAATTAACCTTTATACTAAAGTGTAATAGTTGTAATGAAGGAGTGCAAACTCGGATTGTGTGGCCTTTAGTATAGTCACGGCTACCTTTGTGACATGACTCTCCACTTTTAAGGAAAAGTTGGTATCAAGAAATTCGAGATGTGGTCTCACGGGAAAGCAAAGGAGGATTGCCGCGAAGGGAAGAGTGTTGAATTGTGCGAAGAAGTCGTTGGCTCACCGTCCTGCGACCCCGATGAAACTGTGATAAGCCTTCATTTGTACCATGACAGACATCATCAGAGCATGAATCCATACTTTACAAAATAGAGCAAAATATACTAAACCAAGAGAAAAGGTGTTCACAAAAAGGGATTACAAATATGGTCGTGCGCAAATGTAGAAATTTTATTATATGATAAAAGTTTGTTTTCGAAGAGCCTCTTACTAGATTGATTTTTGCATACCTTTACTTCATTTGCGAAGGCAAATGGAAAGGATTCTTAAATTGACCTCACCGGAAGCCGAATAAGGTCTTCATTGGAGTTGCGAATGCATATTTGTGTGAATAAGTCCACTGCGAGTCTTCCCGTGGCCCCGATGAATGCTTATTTTTATCTTCTGCTTGTTTGTTTTTCACAAACGATCACTAGAAATTTTACGTTTATAACTAGGTTTTTCGAGACGACCACGAAATGTATTTACCATATTTCGTTAAAATGATGAAGGACTGATAATTGAATTTCCCAACTATTATACAAGTAGATCTATTGAATTTCACTTAGCCTAGCTTCCCTAAAGGTATTCTCATCACAACTATAAAGCAATCCTCACTTGGCTTCCATCGAGACCAATCTAAGACTCTCTTCCACTTGATTCTTCGAACAAACCAAATGGTATGCAAAGGTAAATTTATTACAATTGTAAATTGTGGTTTAATTGCGCCATGTACAAAATAAAACCTGGCTATATGAGATGTAGTCAATCTATTTCGTTTAAGGTGATGAAGGACTGGCAGTTGAATTTCCCCACAATGATATGAGTAGAGCTGACAGTTTCATTGAATTTCACATAGCTTTGCTTTGCCCAAAACTTGTTCTCATTCAAGGTGGACTAAAGTTTGAACCTCGCCTAGATCACACCAACACCCCCCAG